TTTTAAGTACTATTTAAAAGACGAGTAGGAGTGTTTTATCAGATATAAATGTCTCATAAAACACGACAACGAGTGTTTTGAATAGCTTAAAATACGACTACAAAAGAATACTAATTAGGATGAACCATATATAATCATACTAATTAGGATGAACAATAATATAATGCCGCGTGCTTTATCAGATATAAAGTCACTCCACGTGACATATTATGGCTGACATGATTTGCAACAATGTTTATGAATTATTAATGAGTATTTTAATTAAACTTACAAACAGCAAATGGTATATTACAACTGAATGCATGTGAAAACTAGATTGTCCCAATCTATATGGCAAAGATTGTCTGTTGAAGTAATACCAATAATTAATTTATACCATTACTCTTAAATTTAACTTAAATTCAACATGTAGACATCATCAAGCTGTGTACGCAGTTATATTTTCATAATTTCTTCACCCCTTTTAGGTCCTTTAGCAATTTCGTTGCACACAGATAATTTTCGTATACTGTGTTATACAATGTTTGCGTATGCGTGTGTTAGGAAATAGCTAAAATCCGGCTGAATTACATCGCGTATATTTAAAATCAGATTTAAAGCCTTGTAGTGCTACATTTTAGTCACAATTCATTGAATTCCATGCATGGTAACGGCATTGGGACTCTATTTAAAGAAAATTGACAACTGAGCCATCTTCTTAGCATAACTAAGCGCGTACATGTGACAATGAGATCAATGGTACATGCACGGATCCGTTTAATTATAGACCTATATCTATTTTATCACCCTTCAGCAAACTATTAGAAAAGCTTATGTATGAACAATTAATATCTTTTATTGAAAAATATAAAATTTTGTATGAGTACCAATTTGGATTTAGAAAAGGTTATTCTACAGAACAAGCGATTCTTGAAATAACAGATAACCTAAGAAATTATTTAGATAATAATCAAATAGTATGCGGCTTATTTCTTGACTTGTCTAAAGCATTCGATACCGTAAATCACGAGATACTTTTGGCAAAAATGGACAAGTATGGTATTCGAGGGGAGCCTTTAACATGGTTTAAGAATTACTTAAGTAATAGGAAACAGTATGTGAAAATAGGCTGTACTGAATCTGAACTACTTGAAATGACCTGTGGGGTACCACAAGGTTCTACACTTGGCCCATTACTCTTTTTACTTTATATTAATGATATGCCTAACTGTGCAAAAAAGCTGAGTTTTCGTACATTTGCTGATGATACGAACGCCTTTTATTCCTGTAAAAATTTGTTGAACTTGGAAAGTACAATGAATGAACAATTTAAGTTAATACGTAACTATTGTGCAATAAATAAATTATCTATAAATTTTCAGAAGACTCATTATATGGTAATATCTTCAACGAGAAAGAAACTAAACAGCATAAAAATTGATAATATATATTGAACAAAAAGGTTTTATTAAGTACTTGGGGATTTTTCTGGATGAACATATCAATTGGAAACAACAAATAAAATATGTCAATAATAAAATAGCTAAAAATATTGGAATTATAAATAAACTTCGACACTATTTAGACTTAAAAATAATAAAGCAATTATATTATACACTTATTTATCCTTATTTAACTTATGGAGTAATGAGTTGGGGAAATACATACAAGACTAGTTTAACGAAAATTAGTACCAAACAAAATAAGTGTCTAAGGAATATGTTCTTTGCATATAGCAGGGAGAGTGCTACTCCGTATTATAACCTCATGGAAATACTTAAATTTGAAAACATATTTAAGCTAAAAATTGCAGAGTTTAGTTATAAAATAGTTAATGGAAGATCAAATATTCCGTCTATCTTCTTAGAGTTTGTGAGACCAGCATACCAACAACACAGTTATAATACAAGATTTGCTTCAAAATTAAATTTTGTCAGGCCAAAGGTCAAGACAAATTATGGAAAGCACACTTTTCAATTTGTTGCATCAAAAATATGGGAGTCTATTGACTTGAAAATAAAAAGTTTGTCTTCATTTGAAATCTTTAAGAAAAGATATAAAGCTGCCCTTCTACAAAATCAATGAAAAATGTTATTGAGACTTGAGTCTATATGTGTATGTATATGCATATATGTGTATATGTATGTGTATATGTATGTGTATATGTGTACATGTGTATCTGAGTGTCTTTATTTAAGCTCAACCATATAAAATAATCTATATGATCGAACGTAGGTAGTGATCAACTCGAAAGTTTATGCTCCTTTGATCACTACGCACCTTCACTTTATCAAATTAACTTGAAATTATTCATTCAAAACATAATTATTTGTAAAATTTTGTATACATTTTCTTTGTTTTGTAAATAGTGCAGTTCCTGAATAAATCTCTAAATCTCTAAATATAGAAACGAATCTCACCACGAATCTCACCATATTTTCATGGGCTCGCACGCCATAAAAGCCTTAATAGCAGACAATATCAAAAAATTCACTCTAGGCATTTAAAGTCTAACATATTTTAGAAGATAGCAGATTTTACAAATTTTCGTAACGAACTGACTAAGATACGAATGATTTTCTAGCAACGATTCTCACTTTCCGTCCTAAAATAGCCAATGAGATATAGATTCATTTACAGTTTTGTAGTGAGCTTCGTTCAAAAACGAACTTAAAAAGGGATATCTGCAAAGTTAACCGAGGGTAATTAAGAAAAATAGTTTCTGATACCCATATGGATATAAAATGTAAGATAAGTGAAATTTATAGTAACGCGAATCAGCGTTTTAGACCGAGAATCGTTAGTGAGCATCGTGTAATATGAGACGTATGAAATTTGACTACTGGCTGCTTTATGAACTGTGCTATAAATCTTATACTGCAAATGAAATTTAGCTTGGAAATGGCCCCAGTTCTCAAGTATACGTTGTAAATGGCCAAAAAAAATGCATATTTATTTGTCCTTCCCCGCAGTTTGATATGTTGTGAGATGAGATTTAAACCTACTCGACTCACAAACCGATTACTTCTGAATGGTTCGTTTCCAAGTTCGTCGTAATTATGGCCTTTTGCATCATTCCAAAGACAGCATGTAACTTTTAAGTAAATTTCCGCGGATTTTTCACAAGGAAGAGAGCGATGATGATATTAGACGTGAATATAAATCTGCTTATTAAAATTAAGCATTTTAGCTAGTAGCACACGTACCTGTCTTAGTATATAGCTAAAGTGTTAAAAATAACCCCTCCCCCTGGAATGAATGGATAGTATCTCAAACTACCAAAATGTTGCCCACATATGCTTTGATACTGGAATATATGTTATTCGGCGATATAAAGTTAGAACTAAAACGTTTAATTCCAAATTCCAAACACCATTGATCACCACCAAGACAATCTTTGCCAGAAACTATGGGACGTACAGCTGCTGTAGTTTCATATAATTTGAAAGGAATAGCGCCCCCCGTTCCCCCAGTTCAATGTTGGGCCAACAAAAATCTGATGTCTGGATGCGCTGCACCAACATTGAAACGGGTGGGGGGAGGGAGGGTGGAAAATATGTATCAGCAAATGGTATATTACAACCGAATGCGTGTGAAAACTAGATTGTCCCAATCTATATTGTCAAAGATTCTATGTGAAAGTTTCTTTGAATTTGCTTGCCTTTAATTTCTTTTATAAAAGCTCAAAAAGAAGAAAATTATTTTCAAGAGCGACCTGTATGATTTAAATTTATTTCATTTCAAAGTAGGAGTTCGGCAAAAAGCAATTAATTTCAATAAACATTTAAAAACGTTTTACGAAGCGTTTTGTGTTAAATTTTACGTTATAATAAAGCCCATCGAAAGAAAAATAACATACCTACTTTATATATGTTAGAAATCGATAGTTATGTGTTTAAAAGTGTAAAACATTAATTCGTTTTTTCCGCTTTGAACAAAAAATTAAGAAAACAATTATCGTGTTGCCATGGCTAACATGACGCAACCCTGCGTTCTATGTTGGCGTAATTACAGTGCAATACTTCATGTTAAAAACAATGTTTGGGAAATGCGGGCGAGGGGTTGTTGCATGTATGTATTTTTAGTTACAAAATAACCTAACCTAATTGTTAATAAATAGGATCAGCTTTATAGTACTTCAGGAAATATATGTACTTTCCCTTGGAGACCAAAACGTCCTTCATCATCGCCCCCAATCGCAAGACTTAGGCTGCGTCCAGACTGGGTGCCCGGCACTGGTGCCCGGCACTTGTTTTGGCTCCCAGTTTGAACACGACGCTTTCAAATGAAATTGGGCACAGTGCCCAAGAACGGGCACTGCCTCTAGAGGTAGTACTCAACAACGGCACTGTGCTCAACATGTTTTGTGAACCATTTTGAACATTGGGCACCAGTGCCGGGCACTCAGTCTGAACGACCCCTTATATTTTCAAGACGCCCTCCAACATTTAGTTTGTTACATTTTTTTATGTAAAATAAGTAATGGGACAAGTACTGGGAACAATTAAGTATATTCAAATTAGTTGTTATTTACTCCAACTCCTATATATGGTGAACTGCATAAGCGTAATAAACTATGGAAACTACGATTATAGGAACTAATAAAGGTTTAAATATTTTGAAAATGAGTAGGAAAGTATTAGAAATTGGGATCGCCCCTTCTCACATATTTTTCAGTTTGAGGCCGCCCACGATTTTTGGTGACCACTGTACATGTACGTATGCATTTTCTGGAATTGGCGGTCTTTTTGAATTCGCCGTATTAATAAACGTGATCATTTGGAGCTCTGTCGAAGTGACTCTATCGATCTAAACTTTGGAAATTTTGACGGCCTATTGATGTTTTCATTAAATTTAATTACATTTGAAGTCTAAAATGGTGAAAGACATTATAATAACGTCGTAACTGAATAGAAGCAAACAAGTACTACTACAAGATCCCGGGCAGACTTCTCAAGGAAATTGCTCCACAAATCGCTTGCTCTCTTTGCCGCCTATTCAACCTATCTCAATCATTAGGTATGTTCCCAGATAGTTGGAAGTTAGCAGACGTGACCCCAGTTTTTAAAAATGATGATCCATCACTAGTTAACAATTACAGACCTATTTCTCTATTAAGTCTCCTCTCAAAAACTTTGGAAAGGTGTGTTCACAATCACTGTCTTGCCCACATATCTCCCCAATTGTATCGTATGCAACATGGCTTCTTGAAAGGAAGATCTACCGTTACTCAACTTCTTGCGGTTTATCAAGACACCATTGAAGGCCTGGCTGAAGGTAAAGAAACGGACATAATCTATTTGGACTTTAGCAAAGCTTTTGATAAAGTGCCGCACTCTTCTCTTATCAGAAAATTACCTCTCTTCGGCATAACAGGCGACTTATTACTTTGGTTTAAAAGTTACCTCTCAGGAAGACACCAACGAGTTACCCTGCAAGGACTATAGTCCGAAAGTCTTGAAGTTTATTCCGGTGTCCCATAAGGTTCTATTCTAGGGCCACTCTTGTTCCTGGTTTATATAGATGACCTGCCAGGGTACATTAAAAATAAGTCCAAGGTTGCCCTATTTGCTGACGACTCCAAACTGTACAAGACAATCTCAAAATTATCGGATTCTGAAGCTCTTCAAGAAGACCTTTCCTGTCTTTCTGACTGGTGTAAAGATTGGAATATGGACTTCAATACATCCAAATGCAAGGCTCTAAACATCTCCAAAAAGAAATCCCCTACTGTACGGAATTACCAGCTTAATAACGAATCACTGGTCACTGTTAAAGAGATCACTGACTTGGGAATTTCCATCAATGACAAGCTGCTCTGCTCCTCGCATATCGCTCAGATATCCAAACGAGCCAATCGCACTTTGGGTCACGTGAAAAGATTGTGCAGGTATTTTCTGGATTCCGAAATCAGCAAACTCCTATATTGCCAAATCGTACGCCCCATAATGGAATATGCAAGTGAACTCTGGTCACCATACACCATTAAATACCAGATGATATTGGAAAACGTGCAACGCAGGGCTACAAAATTTATATTAAATTATCCTGACGATCTCAATTACAAACAGCGCCTCCTTAAGTTATCCTTGTTACCTTTGGAGTATAGAAGAGATTCGAAAGGCATGATTCTTTTATTCAAACACAGACTATAAGCTTAATAGTTCTAGATCATCCCTCCCTACAACAGTGCTCTGCCCAACATCGTGTAATTACCCGTAACTTTTCCTCCCTGAATTACAAGACACAGCGAGCAACTCAAAATTACCTAAAATACTCCTATTTCCACCGTGTCGTTTCCATCTGGAACTCACTACCACTGGATATCAAAAGTTTAACAAACTTGGTAACTTTTAAAAAAGCTATCTCAGACTATTATACGATGAAACTTGATTCTTATATTCTTCCAGACGAAAGACGTACTTAACTAATTTTAGACTAATTACTGTAATATATTCCACTAATTTAATATTTTATCATGTTTTTTAGCCATCAGGGGTTTGATGTCAATTGGGGCTTTGCCCTGTTTCTTTCTCCTGTTGTCACTGTAAAGCTGATAACTAATTCAATAAATTCAAATTCAAATACTAGTTAAACGATCTCCTAGTTTTGACTAGTTTAACACCAAATACCAAGCAACGTCATCGAGAAAAATCAATATTTAATCCCCGAGCCAACGTCGCGGACCGTTCCGGGCGTAAGCCCGGGGCGACGGTAATTAAAATCCGGACGGCTAATTATACCCTGGTATGTGAAGACTTAGCGAAATTCAAAGTTGTCCTCCATTTTGTTTATGTCATGGACGGTTTTCGACGTTATGCGCATGCGCGAGTACAAACTCTGGCTAAATAGTAAATAATTGTTTTTCATTTTGAAATGATGTATTTTGCTGTTTTACAGCATGCATGTTTTTGTTTTAAATTTAGTAAAAAAGTTTACAAAAGTATAAAACTTTTTTTCTTGATTTTAATTGGTAATAAGCCAGCAGTTTCATGAATTAATGGCTGTTCAACCTTGAAACAAAGTTTGTAATAATTGATTTGATGTTGACGTTTTTAATAATTTTATAATCGTTGTTGTTCCGGTTTGTGTAAGTGTAAACATTTCAGTAGTAAAATTCCATGTCGTACTTGCTTTGTGTTGTCTATTTTATTCATGTCTGCGAAACTTTTAAGCCATTCTTAAATCGATAATTCACAATAAATAATGTGTTTTAATGCAAGCTGGTAATCTTAATACTTTATGTGGAGTTTTTCGATTCTACTTCATCTGTTAAGTAAAAAAAAAGACGAAGGGTTGCTGCATACATGTATTTTCTAGTTACAGATATTACCTTCAACGAATTTTGAATGTCTCTTATTTTAATTAATTAAGAGCAATTTATATAACACCTCATTCATTAAAGCAAATTTATATATAGAGGATAATTTATATATATAGAACAATATTTTACTCACTCGCGCTGTTTATTATATAGTCCTAAGCAAAACATTGTGAAATTTCACGCTCAAAAGCAAATTGTCAAATTGTCGCGTGATCGATATCTTCACCAGTGAACTCTGACCAGTGAAGATACTCACTGTGTATTTTTCAGTATAGGCTATCTCACTTTCTACTATATAATAAATAATATATAAATTAATGGTTATAATCTCATAGACTAGTGACAGGATAGACTTGTCAACAGAAACAAAAGAAGGCAATATCCAATAGTCCAAGGTTCAATATGTTTCTGCGAGCACGTACAAACCGAATGAAAGGCTAACTGACCAAACATAGCTCAACAACGAACACGCAGAACAAAGGTCAATTACTTGCTACCGAGAAAGAAAATTTCCACCCACCATGTTCATGTTCCTTGTGTCAGTGATTTTGTAACTGGTCTGGTGCACTGTATGCGTACTAACGGATGTTATGTGTTCCCAACGGTCAACTTCAGGCCTGTAATTAGGTTATTTAATGTAAATATAATTAGTCGAATCATAAGTACTGTCCAAGGGGATATCATCACTCTATGGTTTAGGTCTATGTCAGAAGAAGTCGCTACAAGTCTGACAGGGCCCTATAAAGGCCATTTTTCGTTCAAACTTGGTCAGATAGTAGAACTAGTCTAATGCTTTCATGGAAACCAATAAAAAAATTTTAGGCAAAATTAACACTCAAAGGTGTTCTGTAACCTTAAATTCCAACCGTCAAAATCTTAATCATATCCTAATTGTAGCTCATGTAACCCAAATATTCATTATGAGGCCGATTTTACGACAATTGTGACTTAAATGAATGCCATTATACATCAACTCTTTACTTTTTTGGGGACATGTTTGTTGGAATGTATCTGTTTTATATTTAGTTCAATAAAAAGGAACAACATTTACCTTTTTTGGTGTTACATAAAAATTCCATCTTTCACCTCATGAAAATATAAATCGATTTGTGAAAGTCCGGGAACTTTCACAAATCTTCCCGAGTCGTCTGGCAAATGGGCAATTTAATCGCTAATTTCCCGACTAGTCATGTTATTAGTTTGTAATATTATGATCACCGAGGCACAGAGGACCGAGGGTATCGCACGTGGTGTGTTGGTCTGATTTGAATGCTGTTTGATTGTCTTATGATTGTGGGGTGAACACTTTTCATATATACGCACGCGCAGAAACACATCTCCGTGTTCATTCTTTTTACGCATGCACGTAAACCGAATTTTATCCCACAATTGAAATGTTCAAGACTGCGGAATAAAAACTGGCAAAGTGATCTTTCGTATGTGTACGGAACGGTGTCGTCAGACACCGTCCATAGTTGTGCCGATGATTTTCGATGAGGTACGCTTTTGTCTTCTAAATTTCCCCGGAAATTTAGTAAAATACAAAAGATTTCTTTATCTTCTAATTTTCCCTCATCAAGCATGCAGGGCAAAAGTAGAAGACAAAGAAATCCTTTCAGAACAGTGAAAATCGAGGTGATCATGGTATTACACACAATAACGTTAACGTAAACGTAAACATAAAACGTAAACGTATTAACGTGTAAACGTATTAACGTGTAAACGTATTAACGTGTAAACGTATTAACGTGTAAACGTATTAACGTGTAAACGTATTAACGTGTAAACTTATATCTTTTGTCGCCCACTGGTTATATAATTCAAACTAATTAAAATATCTATTTGTCCAACTAAAACAATAGTTATCGAGAAAGGTGTTTCACAACTAACAGCTTACAATAGCAAACAAAATTTATACCCTCAAGTTAGTTATCTATATATCGCACTCTCCATACATAATCCAAACTTGCTAGTCAGGTATAACGTTAGCTTTTCATCTTATATCACACGATTCATGTTGGTTTGTAGGAATTGTACTGCTTCTACTCTTTCTAGTTGTCCTACCTTCTCCTCTAATCCCCTTTGGCTCCCACACAATTATATCTTTTTTCTTTAACCTTTCCCCCCACACTTAGCATTTTCACTTTCCCCTTTTTTCATTCTCGCCAAATATTAATTAATAATACATCTTCTACATTAGAAATCTCCATTAATCCCCTTTCTTCTTTCCAAATTTTCTGCCCAATGCTGTTCTCTCAAGTCTACTAGATCCGATTCCAGTAATGAGCATAAATATTCTCATCTGTCCAGTATGTTCTTCCTTTTCGCCATCGAATGTCACCAGGCCTAGTATAAAACACTAACTATGAGACTTTTTAAGCATCTTTAGTCCATCTCATCATATTCATAGTCCTAAATCAATTAATTTGCATTAGTCGGAATCATACCGGTCTCCATTGACAAAAGAATGCGTTAATGCTTCGTGAGCATAAGGTCTGTCATCAATCCCATGACTGATCAGCCAAGAAACAAAGTTCTTAGCACTAGGATTGTCAAGTTTCTCCAAGTTCACTGGACTACCACTCAAAATATTTGCCATTCGATCAAGCGAAGAACCAAAAGGATGTTCTCCTTTTGTCAATAGGAAGAAAGCAATCATACCCGTAACCTGAACATCAGACTTTTTTTTGTAATGACTCTGTTCTCCAGTGTTTATTGCGTTAATTACTTCTGCAGGCATCCAACCATTAGTTCCTTTAACTTCTGTCTGTACTGTAGTTTCGTCTTCATTTAGCACACGGCTGATTCCAAAGTCTGCCAATTTCATGTGTCCTTCTATATCAACTAGGATATTTGTAGGCTTTAGATCTCTATGCAAAATTCCTTTCCCATGAAGAAATTCAAGTCCATTCAAAATTTCTTTAATCATTTGTGGGCCATATATTCGTAAGTATTCAATACGTTGTGCTTGAACATGTTCCTTCAAGGTTTCTTCACAGAGATCAACAATAAAGTACATGAAGTTGTCATCGTGGAGAAAATGTCGATAGCTCAAAATAAATGGTGACTTGGTCGTGTCAACTTGAGTCACGATTTTCTGCTCGTTGTTTGCTGTATCCTCGCCACCTTGTCTGTACATTCTCTTTACAGCGACTTCACTGCCATCGTTCATGACACCAACATAGACACATGTAGCATGGGAGCCATTGCCAATTTTGAATTCATTTCTTGCCACAAAAGCACGTATCGGTACTTCTTCTATCTACGGTAAAAAAGTGAACATAAACATGACAAATAAGAGAAGAATGATAAGGAAGGAAGGAAGGAAGGAAGGAAGGAAGGAAGGAAGAGAAAGGCAGATAGGCCAAGCGAAAGTTGGGTCGAGGTTTGCAGTGTAAACACGCTGTGACGACGAACGAGCAAATATTGTAAAACTAAATTGAGAAGCATAAATCCAAGATGGAAAGTGAAGAGTGCCGTATAATTAGAACATTATAAGCAAAATTGTGTTCGCAATCTCTCGGTTAATACAGGATAAAATATTTCGGTTTCCTGTTTTAGACACTTTACAGGTAAGCTACAATTCCAGTTATTAACTACTTTAAATACACACACTAAGTAACCACTACATCACCGAATAACTTGTGTTTATTACCTCATTTAATTCGTTATAATTCCCTGTTTTCAACATCTGAATTTGTTCGCGATATCTGACAGACTTCTTTAATTCTGGCTTGAGAATATCCGTAATCTCATAATAACCATGGTAAACACTACATTCAACAAGACTCATTTGTCTCCCTTCAACAAGAACTTCTCCAGCTTTGTTTGCATCCACGCCTTTTTCTAGAAGAAGCTCTAGCAAATCAGCTGAATTATTGCAAACAGCCATCTTCAGAATGTCAATGCCAAGATCGTTTACGTCGGTGGTACTTTCATCTTGGGTATCATTACTATAAATCCTGTCGTTTTCATTTTCACAGTTGACATCAGCACCATATTCAACTAAACACTTAACCATGTCCACTGATCCTGTATCTACAGCACTCTGCAAAACTGTTTTGTCGTAATTATCTTTACAGTTGACCTCAGCACCATAATATTCAACTAAGTATGTCACAATCTTTAATGATCCATTTTGCACAGCAGTGTGAAGAACTGATTTACCTTCTGCGTCTTTGCAATTACCATCAGCACCATGTTCAACTAAATATTTGGCCATGTTTCGTGAGTTAAGCTTCACAGAAAGGTGAAGAACTGTCCTGCCGTATTTATCCTTGCAATTAATATCAGCACCATTTTCAATTAAATACTCAACAATGTCAGGTGAATGGACATTTCTGAACCGCTGTACAGCACGGTGTAAAACTGTTCTGCTGTAACGATCTCTACAATTGACATCAGCACCATGTTCAACTAAATATTGGACAAAGTCTGGTGTACAAATCTCTACAGCGCGGTGAAGAACTGTTTCGCCGTGTTTATTCTTGGAATTAATATCAGCACCCTGCTCGACTAAATACTTTAAGATGCCTGGTGAATAAGGTTCTCTGAAAAACTGTACAGCACTGTGAAGAACTGTTTTGTCGTCCTTATCTTTGCAATTGACATCAGCACCTCCGTCAACTAAATATTTGACAGTGACTGCTGAATACCTCTCTACAGCAGTGTAAAGAGATGTTCTTCCGCTGTTGTCTTTGCAATTAACATCGGCACCATTTTGAACCAAATACATGACCAGGTCGATATCTGCTGGATAATGATGTATAGCCCAGAAAAGAACTGTTCTTCCGTCAATATCTTTGCAATTGACTTCAACACCATTTTCAACTAAATACTCGACGATGTCGAGTAAATGATGCTCTATGGCACAGTGAAGAACCGTTCTGCCCTCGGTATCTTTACAATTGACATTTGCACCAAGTTTAACTAAATATTTGACAATGACTAGTGAAGGTCGCTCTACAGCGCGGTGAAGAACGGTTTTTCCGTCTTCATATCTGCAATTCAGGTCAGCGCCACGTTTAACTAAATACGTGACAATGTCTAGTGAATTAGACTCTATAGCACAGTGAAGAACTGTTCTACCGTTGTTATCTTCACAATTGAAATCAGCGCCATGTTCAACTAAATACATGACAATGTCTACTGAATTATACTCTATTGCACAATGAAGAACTGTTCTGCCATCGTTATCTTTACAATTGAGATCAGCACCATGTTCAACTAAATACATGACAATGTCTAGTGAATTAGACTCTATTGCACTGTAAAGAACTGTTTTGCCACCATTATCCTTACAATTGACATTCACATCATGATCAATTAAATATTTGACGATAATTATTGATGAATGAAACTCTACAGAACGGTGAAGTGCTGTTTTCCCTTCCTTATCTTTACAATTGAAATTAGCAACACGTTCAGCTAAATACATGAAAATGTCCTGTGAATTAGTGTCTATAGCAGAGTGAAGAAGTGTTTTGCCGTCGTTATCTTGACAATCGACGTCAGCACCATGTTTAACCAAATACTTAATGACGTCGAGTTTAGAAGACTGTACAGCAGCATGTAGAACTGTTTGGCCGCAAACATTTTTAATCAAATTTACATCAGCGCCAAGTCTGAACAAATATTTTGTAACTTGTAGAGGACGAGATCTTACAGCAAGACAAAGAACAGTTTCACCAAATTCATTTACGCTATTTACGCCGCGGCTATCTCCATTTTGTACTAATTCTTTCAGACGTCTTAGATCCACTGGTTCACGTTGAACAACATGCCAGAGATTATCTTCTTTATGCTGCTTCTTTGAACCACGCGGTGCATATGTCCAACGTCTCATAATTCTTTAATATCTTCTGTTTATGTATATCTGCATAATTTAATGTGAACATAGATGTAAGAAAATTAATGTAATTTAACGAAATTGTAAAATGAAAATTACAAAGCTAGCTGTTTCATGTGTTCTCTTGAACGTTTTGATCCAACACATTTATTTCTCCTTGAATTATACAAGGTGTATTACACAAAGTGGACAATAAACCTTATGCATAATGACGTCACAAGGGTTGATGCCCGCGAGGAATGCTGGTCTTAGTAGTCATCGCCCGGGAAAATTTTAAAACAATTAAAAATGGCCACTATCGAAATTTTCCCGGGCGATGACATCCTGTTGACAGTTATATATTAACTTACGCGTCATTTGGCGCGCTTTAATTAATTAGTAGGCGAGAGACAAAGGAATTGAGAAAAAGGTTTATGTTCGTCTTGCTTGTAAGTTATTATGCCTTAAACGAATAAATAGCAAAAAAACAGTAAAAGAAAGGGTTTTTAAACATGGTGTCAGTAAATATTTATTAATACAAGAACTAGCTAAGAAAATGTTATCCCCGAGCCGACGGCGCGAAGCGCCGTGCGAGGGTACTAATTCCCCCCGGCTATTTACACCCGGGGAAACGAAAGCATAGTTGATCCACACTTGGTGAAAATAGATAGGGGGGGGTTGTGAAAAAAATTGTCGGTTAGAAGGAGGGGGGGGTCATGAAAATATTAACACCTTATTGGGGGAGGGGGTCATGGAAAACTTGCACCGTTTCTGCTCTTTTTCCTCCAGCCCACCCTGATGTATAATTAATGAACGGTCCCTTAAATTGCCTTATACACACACTATATGTTTGAATTTATTTAGTTTAATTAAAAAATATCGAAATTACAACAAGCAACAATTACTATATACTGTCAAATGTACTTCGGATTTCCATACATGTGATTGTAATGGTACCAATGGCAATATCAAACATATGTAATCATCAAAATTTTCAGCCCGGGTAGCCAGTTTGAAACTCAGCACGGGCTGATATCGTTCCATGTAATCAGCCCCTAGCTAAGTTATTATATAATAAATTAAATTATTTAAAAGGGTATATACTATAGTATAATTATTATTGAATTCTTTCTAATTATTTATTGTATTTGTAGCCGTTGCTGTCCTAAATCGTAAGGTGTCTATTTCAAAATCGGGGAACCATGCAAGGCAAGCATGGTTAAAAATTTTTCGAGTATGCGGACGTATATGCATGCACATGCATGCATGGTTTACGCTATACTCATACGTTTCTCTCATACGCAATAGTGTGACAGGACCTTAACCGAGATCATGCAGCATGTAATTGCAGTTCTTAAAAAACATGAAAATATTAAACATGTATAAAATATTTGTTTCATTTAATAGTGGCAAAATAAATCTGCACTACGTCTATGATGAGAAAAAAGTGCTCCTTCAAGGCATTCATATAAATTGAGTCCTTTCCCTCACTTTTCTTATACATTTTTGTTTAGGGAGCATTCATTTTTTAGCTGGGGGGGGGGGTGTGCCGGAAAAATTTGGGGGTGGGTCAGCCAATATTGACATGCTTCAAAGGGGTGGGTCTTTTTATAGTTTTGGTATAAATGGAGGGGGGTCATAAAAATAATCGGTAAAAAAATCACCAATATGATTTTATTGAATTTGGAAATATTTGGATCAAGAATGGTAAAAAGGTCTAGAATCTATCAACTATCTCGTCATCTATAACAAAGAAGCAAAATTCATTTGACGCTCTGTTCACATAGGAAAACATTTCCATGACGTTCGTCAATTGACCTCGTTTTTATCCGTTTTTGTGTGAAAACATGAATGAAAGAAAACGCAGGACCGTAGCATGATTTCAAAATCATGCATGATTTCAAGGTCTGCATTACTTTAAAATCATGCAGACCTTGATCAATTTCAAGCTTTATTAATTGTAAGCGGCTACATTATCCATTACAAACTGCAAAGAATGAAGATAGTACCCACAGTTTCCTGCAACTTATCCTAGTTATCCAATATATAGTTCATTAAATACGCGTTCGCCCATTTAGTACTACCAAATTGTCAATTTCAAGTTTCAACATACTAAAACGCTGTTTTCTGACCATCAAAATTCTGTCAAATCTTCCCCCAAAGGCCAGGAAATGGCATTTCAGAGACTCTAGATTTAAAAATTTCCTCGGGCCTTCGGCACTCGCTTTCAGCCCCCCAATCAAAAAGAGCTTCCTACGGCCCTGAAACGCTATGGAAACGACACCGTGTGGATTAATAGTTAGGATGAGGGGTCAAAAAAATTTCAGTAAAAAAATAGGGGGTCATAATTTTTTATCAACTTTTGTCTTGGGGGTTCCAAGTTTTCGCATGGAATTAGACATCAATTTCTCCGCCCCCCCCCCCAAGCTAAAAAATGAATGCTCCCTTTATATATACCATGCATGTAGTATTTAATGATACCCATTAACGTAAAATTTCAAGCATATATAATTGCTGGCTTATTTGTAACTTACTCTCTATCCAAAAAACAGCCATATTTGAAAAAGTAAACAGTTTTGTATGTTTTTAACACGAAAAATTTAAGTAAATACAAAAAGAAATTATAGCTTATAATTAGAGGAATTAGCGAAAATTGACTATATTCATGACGCGCTTGTCAGGCGAAAAACACACTGACCAAAGATTTTATTATTTATTCTAGTAGATGTGTCATAATACTCGGTAGCTGCAATAGATTGGATACCTGATACCGTTGCACTTTTGAAAAAAAAAAAATTACCGCCAGCATACTAACACGAATATTTAATCAGCTGTCTGAAAGACGTTTTTAAAAATACACAATATTTTGTTTGCTTCAAGTGATCAGGATAATTTTTAGTTTAGGTTTATGCCTAGGCAGGAAATAATAAAATATCTAAGTTTCAAGAAGTTAGAATAAAAGCGCGAGATGAACTGTGAGATATAAAAAAGCTCAAATATCACTTGCGTAATTAACGTTTTAACTTGTTTTCGAACGCGTCCGAAAATAATTGCGAAAAAAATTTTAAAACGGACTACAATTTCAAAGTCAACGTTTTTTGTTCATTTTATGAATGACTTCTTCCACACAGAAAGTTTGAAGGAAATCTGTAATCTTAAGAAATTCGAGTGGTCGGTTTTTACACGGACTGCCTCTTAATTTACATATACGCATTTAGATTTTAATATCCTGCGTGTGTAATATTACTTTTAATTCGAAAATAAAAATTTTGTTCAATAAAACATTTCAAATTTTGCCCCCATGAGTTGGGGGATTAGACAAGATTAGTCAGGTCAGCCCGCCTCAGGGGGTCGGGCAATAGTTAAGTATCGATATATTAAAAATTTATGTCTCCACATTTCCCCGAGGTTGGGGGAGGGGGGGGGGGAGATTACAATTGACAAGGGCATAAATATGTTATTAAAAATATATAACTGTGAATATTAACATCAATGTTTCGCGTTAAGCATGTACGAATATTAACATTAATGCTAAACTGAAGTATAATCTGTATCCATTTAAAAGCATAACAAACCAGAACAACGAACTAAGCACATCAAATTTTTTAAATATAGCCTGTACAAAACGCATCAGTCGGTTTGTTTACATATTGACTTGACTCGATTTTAATATTTTACACAAACTTGATTTACATATATTGCATATATCAATTGTAATAATTGATAGCAACCCATCAATGTATGATTAATGCAATCTATATATTCCAAACTGCAATGTCTTTGTAGGGAAAAGTTTAGCACACCTGGGACGGGCCAGCTGGGATGCGCTTAGCTTCATAACATTTTTCACATTATCATTCAGTGGTTTTCCATGTCATTCCTGGAACACTCATTCTAAATCACTTTGTACAAATGCTCCACCTAATAATACATGCTGCAGTAATGAAGGACAAGTACCAAGTCTTCATTAATTTATTAAACTTCAATTATTGGTTGTTTGGGCCCAAAATTTTAATCAAACATAAGGCGACGTAGTGCAACTTACTGTGACTTAAAGGCGACTTTGGGCGATTTAAGGCGACTTAAGGCAACTTTTGGACCCGGAGTAGGTCTTCGCCAAGCTATATTTACGGCACTCTTATATACTAAACCAACACTATCAATTGTATTAATTGTTTAGGAAAGATTTCAGCGAGCTTGAAAATAGCTCGAAAATATACTTTTTATCATATTGTGAGCAGCACTAGTTACCCTTTACGGCATAATGTGCCCTGATGCACTCTATTTTACTTGTCAATGGGAGAGAGCTGCCACTCGATGGCCTGAAAGACCTTGGACATCCAGAAGAAGGGTAATTAAAAACAGAATGTTAAATTAAATGCCTTATGTGGCAATATACCCAGATGCGCCCTACTTTATTATTTTACTTTGTCAAACGCCAGACGATTTTACTCGTCAGAACAGAATTAAATACTAAATTTAATCAATTCTATATATTGGGTTAACAATTTTCTGATTCAGATAGATAACACATTAGGACTAGGGTTGGGCGATAATAAAAAAATCATCTCACGATTATTGTCAAGGGAATTATTACGATATTCGATAATATCGCTCTTAAGGGATATTAATACATAAATATTAGCTTTCGTGTCGTATTAAATTCGTATTTAATTCAGGAAATAGTTTTAACTCTTTTAAAAACTATATTTTCTAGGAATTGGAAGAAATTTTTAAAATTTTATGTACACATGCGAAGCGATATCACGATAGTCTTCGACCATGACGATAATTTCGAGATATCGTCGCTCAAGTTTCTACCTTCGATACGATAATCGCGATTGAAAATATCGCGATAAATCAAAATATCGAAATATCGCCCAACACTAATTATGACTTCCTCAAGTTTAAATTAATACTTCCAAATAATTTTCCGTTTTGACTTTGAAGCTCGATGTAGTCATATTATTCATATTCACATATAGTTTTATACTATGTGGTTTCAAACATGCTTTGGG